GCAAAAGTTGTTGTATTTCGTAATGACCAACAGCTGTCTTTTAAGATAGATGACGTTGAACTAACGAAGATGTTTGGAGATGTAATATCTATTGATGACAACACCTTGGCAGAGAAATCACTCTTTCTTGAGAACTTTGCCGTCACATATGACACTGACACTTTACTTGTTTCAGAGATTAACATATACATACGTTGTATTTACGCATTAGATCTTTGGAGGTGCAATATCTATCAAAGAAAACAATTGTGTCAGGTATTATCCTTTGTTAGGAAACTGATCAGTTTATTACCAGGGTTATATCTCTTGTTTAGAAACAGTGCCAATATCACAATTCAAGAGTTCTTTGCTGCAATAGTAGATTGAAAGCAGTGGAGACCTTTTAACAAATGTTATTTTATTCAGCGTACTCGCGTGAATCCCATGCGTTTGACTCGCAAGCTAACGAAGACAGTCTTAAAATTTCAAATAATGAGCTTGACTCATTTTATGCCTTAAAGGTCTGCATACTATTCTACGTTTGATAGCATTTCTTGGAATGGATTCATTACAAATGTTGTTTTCAGTGATGACTACTCAGGAATCAACAATGTTTTCACCAGGTCCAGTGACGCCAGCCATTGTTTGCCATGTTTCCAATGACAAATTAACGGCATAATCAAACAATTCAAAATAATATTGCCAGTGAACTTGTGGTAATTTTGTTTTGGCAATTTCAGTTATCTATGTTTGTTTTTTTCAGTTTTGCTAAATGTTGAATTGTTTTTAATAGTAATATAGTAACAAGTATTAAGGTGGATTCTTCATTACAGGTTCACTGTTGATATTCTATCCTAGAACAAAAAAGATCACTCTGTGAATACTAGAGGACAATGCAGGTGTAAAAATATTGCGACAGGATGAAATAAATCAAAACAGTATTAGCGATCAATTACTATTAGTAATTTCAGTTACTGTTCCATATGTTTTACACAGTATTATTGTTTTTAAAGTAGTACATGAAATCGTAAGTCTCATTAATTCCAACGTTGGACTTCTTAATCAAAAAGAAGAGACTCTAACTTAAATGTTTTGAAAAAAATAGTTGTGATATTACCCAAACAATATACATCCATAGCTGCAATATATTATGTTCTTTTTTTATAAAATAAACAGTGGTGACAAAAATCCTTCTAACATTCAGCATACCAAAGAAAACAGAATGTAAGTGCTGAAAACATCAGTATAAGTCAGGGATCTGACAAAGAACAACATCCACACCATGATTACATGGAATTCAGTAAAAGCACTGAAAACAACAGTGCCAGTTTCTTGCCCTGAAAATGATCTAATGAATATCTAGATATGGATTAAGATATTTCGCTCTCGTAACGAGCTGTCTAAAACAGGCTCTTTTATTATACACCCTGTCTAAGAGAAGGCGCAGGGCATAAGGAGAATGGCGCCAGGTTTTACATAGTCTGCTACACAGCCGTTTTTAGTGTCGTCACCTAACGCTCCTCCCCACAAACGGCTGCTGAAAACCGAACCACATTCCTTTCCCGCGGTTAGCCAATTAGAATTCAGTTCCCATTTTCTGGAAAGTATTCGCACCAGAAGTTTTATCCAATCACAGCCTTGCTTTTATCGGTACCCTAAATGTGGCCAAAGCAAAGCAAAATGGCCGCGCTAGAGGAAGCATTCATTCGAGCGGCTTCCTTATTTAAGATTTTGGAACTAAATGCGCATCAGAAGCGGGCAATTCAAGCAATTGTGGTCAATAAGAAGGATGTCTTTGTAAACTTGCCGACTGGGTTCGGAAAATCGCTTATTTATCAAGCTCTCCCGTTCGTGTTTGACCATGTAAACAAGAGTGCAGGTTACATTGTTGTAGTTGTGTCGCCATTGGTAAGACTCATGGACGATCAGGTTAAAATTCTAACAGATCTTGGATTGTCTGCAATAAGTATCAGTTCACAAGAGGAGTTAGACGTTACAAAGATTGAGAAGGGAGAATATTCTATTGTCTTCGGCTCACATGAGGCATGGATAATGAATGATCACTGGCGAAGAATGTTAGACAACCATGTCTATTCGAATAAGCTCTGCACCGTGGCAATTGATGAAGCTCATGTCCTAAGGCAGTGGTAAGTTTGGGTGTTAGCCTTCTAGATTCTCTGTCAGCTTTAACAATAGTTTCTCTGCTGCGATCAAAGTTCACTGTTATCAGGCATACGTTGAAGTATTTTCTTGATTTTCGCATGCAACTTGCTCGTTGAAACTTTCTTAATGTGTTATGAAATATCATATTAGATAGGGAGTGTCTGCCAGAGACCAATTTTAACTTAATTTGCTATTTTTGTACGAGCATCTCTGGTTAATTTATGTTAAACCTTTACGATCAGATCAGTGGGAATATTCAAGATTTTCTCTCTCTTGTGATGACAGGGGGATATCCCAAGACAGTAAAAAAGCAGCTTTTTGCGAGTGTTATGCCCATCTTCATGAATTGAGATCCCTGGCCCCTAAAGCAAGGATGATTGCACTGACTGCAACTGCAACAAAGCTCACTTAAGACACTATTCTTAATGTCCTACTCATGGAAAATCCTTATGAGATAAAAAAAAGCCCCAACAAGTCAAATGTCACATATTCTGTTGAGTACATGCCTAAAGATAGTGACCATGAATTGTACTTTGGATGGCTTGTTGATGAACTGATCAAGATACAATCATTGTGTGAAAGAACTATTATTTACTGTCAAACAATTAAGCAGAGTGGTATTATTTATGCAACCATAAAGGGTATGCTTGGAAAGCACATGTATGTTATAGATGCCAATGATTCAAAATATGTCCTAGTTGAAATGCTACATTCTTGCACACCTGCAGCCAATAAGCAACAAATCCTCCACTCTTTTCAAACAGAACATGGAAAAATTCGTGTACTCATTGCCACAATTGCCTTTGGTATGGGAGTAGATTGCAAAGGAGTACACAGAATTGTTCACTATGGGCCATCAAAAAATGTTGAAGCTTATGTTCAGGAGACAGGGCGTGCTGGCAGAGATGGGAGGCAAAGTCATGCATACATTTTGTATCATGGAATTTTATTACATCATGTTGAGGGAGACATCAAATCTGTTCTTAAAACTGAGGGGTGCAGGCAAAAGGCTCTATTTCAACATTTTGAAACTGTTTTAGAGCAGTTTCATAAACCACATCTTTGCTGTGATAATTGTGCTTCAACATGCGAATGTGGGGAATCTGACTGTAACCAGCATGCTGCATTTCCAAAAAGTGAAGACCTCCAAGCAGTATTCCACTCCTCAAGGGAGAGAGAGGTGACTGCAGAAAAGAAGAAAGCAGTTGAAGTAAACTTGATTAAGTACCATAAGTTGCTGGTCATGAAACTGTTCAATACTGCAGCCAATGGAAATATCAAAACTCTGACTAATTTACAGTTTATGGTGGGTTTTTCTGAACATCAGATATCTCAAGTCCTTAAAAACTTAGAAAGGATCTTTACATTCTCCGACATTCTCAATGTGGTTGAAATATGGGACAGATGGCATGCAGAAAAAATCCTTTCAGTTATCGCTGATGTTTTTAAAGATATTGAAAATGCAGTACATGTAAATACCGGTAGCCTGTATACGGAGGAGGGTGGTGACCAGTATGACTTTGATGATGAGTTCATGGATGAGTGGAATGAGCTGCTTCAAGATGATGAACTATTTGACATGATAATTGAAAATATGTCATTGTCAAAACTGCAGTCTTCACTTATTGAGGAAGAGATAAATGCTTCAAGCGACATGTTAGAAGATGGAGTGCCAAGAGCTGTATTGGACACCATTGAGTCGATGAACATTAATTTATCCATCCAGTTATATTACTTGACATTTTATGTATGGTGTTTGTGCCTTAGTTCACCCTTATTCCTGTCAGCTTCTATTACATGTAAATTAAAATAATGAGCTGGGAGTGTGTGAAAAACTTCCCTAAGTGACTTTTGGATCAAATACTTTTTTGTTTCTATCTTATGGAGTTCTGTTTTTCAAGGCACCACCCTCATTTAATGATTTTCCTTAATTTTTTAAAGATTACAGTGGAACTTCTATATAACAAAGAGCCAAGCGACTTGCAAAATTTGTTCGCTAAAATTAGCTATTGTTATATTGTTCTGAGGATCTTTGTCATTATGTTTTGCTATTGCTGGGTGTAAAGAAAAACATTATTTGTTATTTAGAGGTTTGCTTAATAGAGGTTCCACTGTACAATACTGAAGTTAATGTTTGTTCATAGATTTTTCAAAAGAGCAAGTTGCTTTCTGGTTAACTCCACATTGCCTTTTCTTTTCCAGAATCGCTTGAGACTTTTCAACCCTCTTATGCCCCGAGCAAGGGCAAGTGAGTAAGCTCATTTTTGAAAACGATGCCATCCGAAATCGGATTTCCAAGGACTTTGACAAGCGGTGCATTTGTCAACAAAAAGCACAATAAACAAACCAGCCACGAATTACAGAACAATCTTGATAGCAGCGGTATTTCATTTTGTACACAAAGTAGAAAAAGACAGTTTAAAACATCACAAGATGACACAAAACTCTCTCAGCTCCAGCTATCAGTAAGCAAGTTTCCAGACGCTGCATAAATTTTCCGCATAAACTCACCTGTCAAATTTTGACCAATCAGAACAAGCAATTGTGGTCAATAAGAAGGATGTCTTTGTAAACTTGCCGACTGGGTTCGGAAAATCGCTTATTTATCAAGCTCTCCCGTTCGTGTTTGACCATGTAAACAAGAGTGCAGGTTACATTGTTGTAGTTGTGTCGCCATTGGTAAGACTCATGGACGATCAGGTTAAAATTCTAACAGATCTTGGATTGTCTGCAATAAGTATCAGTTCACAAGAGGAGTTAGACGTTACAAAGATTGAGAAGGGAGAATATTCTATTGTCTTCGGCTCACATGAGGCATGGATAATGAATGATCACTGGCGAAGAATGTTAGACAACCATGTCTATTCGAATAAGCTCTGCACCGTGGCAATTGATGAAGCTCATGTCCTAAGGCAGTGGTAAGTTTGGGTGTTAGCCTTCTAGATTCTCTGTCAGCTTTAACAATAGTTTCTCTGCTGCGATCAAAGTTCACTGTTATCAGGCATACGTTGAAGTATTTTCTTGATTTTCGCATGCAACTTGCTCGTTGAAACTTTCTTAATGTGTTATGAAATATCATATTAGATAGGGAGTGTCTGCCAGAGACCAATTTTAACTTAATTTGCTATTTTTGTACGAGCATCTCTGGTTAATTTATGTTAAACCTTTACGATCAGATCAGTGGGAATATTCAAGATTTTCTCTCTCTTGTGATGACAGGGGGATATCCCAAGACAGTAAAAAAGCAGCTTTTTGCGAGTGTTATGCCCATCTTCATGAATTGAGATCCCTGGCCCCTAAAGCAAGGATGATTGCACTGACTGCAACTGCAACAAAGCTCACTTAAGACACTATTCTTAATGTCCTACTCATGGAAAATCCTTATGAGATAAAAAAAAGCCCCAACAAGTCAAATGTCACATATTCTGTTGAGTACATGCCTAAAGATAGTGACCATGAATTGTACTTTGGATGGCTTGTTGATGAACTGATCAAGATACAATCATTGTGTGAAAGAACTATTATTTACTGTCAAACAATTAAGCAGAGTGGTATTATTTATGCAACCATAAAGGGTATGCTTGGAAAGCACATGTATGTTATAGATGCCAATGATTCAAAATATGTCCTAGTTGAAATGCTACATTCTTGCACACCTGCAGCCAATAAGCAACAAATCCTCCACTCTTTTCAAACAGAACATGGAAAAATTCGTGTACTCATTGCCACAATTGCCTTTGGTATGGGAGTAGATTGCAAAGGAGTACACAGAATTGTTCACTATGGGCCATCAAAAAATGTTGAAGCTTATGTTCAGGAGACAGGGCGTGCTGGCAGAGATGGGAGGCAAAGTCATGCATACATTTTGTATCATGGAATTTTATTACATCATGTTGAGGGAGACATCAAATCTGTTCTTAAAACTGAGGGGTGCAGGCAAAAGGCTCTATTTCAACATTTTGAAACTGTTTTAGAGCAGTTTCATAAACCACATCTTTGCTGTGATAATTGTGCTTCAACATGCGAATGTGGGGAATCTGACTGTAACCAGCATGCTGCATTTCCAAAAAGTGAAGACCTCCAAGCAGTATTCCACTCCTCAAGGGAGAGAGAGGTGACTGCAGAAAAGAAGAAAGCAGTTGAAGTAAACTTGATTAAGTACCATAAGTTGCTGGTCATGAAACTGTTCAATACTGCAGCCAATGGAAATATCAAAACTCTGACTAATTTACAGTTTATGGTGGGTTTTTCTGAACATCAGATATCTCAAGTCCTTAAAAACTTAGAAAGGATCTTTACATTCTCCGACATTCTCAATGTGGTTGAAATATGGGACAGATGGCATGCAGAAAAAATCCTTTCAGTTATCGCTGATGTTTTTAAAGATATTGAAAATGCAGTACATGTAAATACCGGTAGCCTGTATACGGAGGAGGGTGGTGACCAGTATGACTTTGATGATGAGTTCATGGATGAGTGGAATGAGCTGCTTCAAGATGATGAACTATTTGACATGATAATTGAAAATATGTCATTGTCAAAACTGCAGTCTTCACTTATTGAGGAAGAGATAAATGCTTCAAGCGACATGTTAGAAGATGGAGTGCCAAGAGCTGTATTGGACACCATTGAGTCGATGAACATTAATTTATCCATCCAGTTATATTACTTGACATTTTATGTATGGTGTTTGTGCCTTAGTTCACCCTTATTCCTGTCAGCTTCTATTACATGTAAATTAAAATAATGAGCTGGGAGTGTGTGAAAAACTTCCCTAAGTGACTTTTGGATCAAATACTTTTTTGTTTCTATCTTATGGAGTTCTGTTTTTCAAGGCACCACCCTCATTTAATGATTTTCCTTAATTTTTTAAAGATTACAGTGGAACTTCTATATAACAAAGAGCCAAGCGACTTGCAAAATTTGTTCGCTAAAATTAGCTATTGTTATATTGTTCTGAGGATCTTTGTCATTATGTTTTGCTATTGCTGGGTGTAAAGAAAAACATTATTTGTTATTTAGAGGTTTGCTTAATAGAGGTTCCACTGTACAATACTGAAGTTAATGTTTGTTCATAGATTTTTCAAAAGAGAAAGTTGCTTTCTGGTTAACTCCACATTGCCTTTTCTTTTCCAGAATCGCTTGAGACTTTTCAACCCTCTTATGCCCCGAGCAAGGGCAAGTGAGTAAGCTCATTTTTGAAAACGATGCCATCCGAAATCGGATTTCCAAGGACTTTGACAAGCGGTGCATTTGTCAACAAAAAGCACAATAAACAAACCAGCCACGAATTACAGAACAATCTTGATAGCAGCGGTATTTCATTTTGTACACAAAGTAGAAAAAGACAGTTTAAAACATCACAAGATGACACAAAACTCTCTCAGCTCCAGCTATCAGTAAGCAAGTTTCCAGACGCTGCATAAATTTTCCGCATAAACTCACCTGTCAAATTTTGACCAATCAGAACATAAAAATTGGACGTAGAACATGATCAACGCGTGACAGTGAGAAAAGTCAAAAGCGATTGCCTTCCCTGCATGTAAATGTAAAAGCCGGTTGAATTTTCGTGTCCGAGATCAGTTCGAAATCAACATTTTAAAAGTGTGGCTCATGAAACACGACTTATTTCATATGCATTTTAAAAAAATTGAACTTGAGCCTGCGATCATTATGTTGAATTGGTAAGTGTGACATATTATATCAGCTTATATATAGGGGCAAAACGACTGGTTTTTTATCTGAGCCCGCGAGACGGTCATGTGATAATTGTCAGCGGATGTCTGATTTTTGACAGCTGTCAATCTAATCGTACTCATGCAGATGGCTTACATAACTAAGAGGCTAGTCAAGTTATGCAAGATCTATTGTGACATTTGACATCGGCTTACATGAAGTGTGTGTACGGACGGGCGGGCGTACGCTACGTCATAACCAAATTTTCTCGGATGGATAGTTTACCAAATTTTTTTACCCATGGTGCTCCCCTTCGCGCACGTGGGAGCTCCGCTAAAATGATTTAACCAAGTTGAACAATGAGGGGCTGCAACCAAATGTTTTTTGGGGGGTTTATGAAAGACCACTCTTCAGTTTCAAAAGCTTTTTGATTTGAGTGATCTTCTGGTGTAGGTTCTGGTAAGACTGTTTTGATTCGGTTTTCTATGGCTTGTGATGCAAGCTTATCACTGCAGTTTGTGAAGTGAAAGAAAGAGGATGGTCACAAAGGAGGTCATACAGTAGAAAATAATGAAATAGTTTTATTACAAATTCACGTTTTTAGTGTACAAGTGCAATTCTTGGTTATACAAAGTTAATGTGGCTAAATGTCATTTAGGCAAAGTTAAATTGGAAGCCAATGCGGTCAGCAGTCTCCTCAAGCGTACATGATCTGTGGGGTGATGGCAGGGGCCTTTTGCTTATCTTGTGACTTACGTTGCATCTCACAGAGGCATTTTTGAGTTGATCTTTGAGAATCTGTTGCTTAAGCCAATCTTTGCGTATTCTGGCCTTCAATTGCAAGATAGGTCTAGCTTTCGAAGCACTAGAAGCACTCGTAACAGTCAAGATGCTGCCCATTTCGCGGCCAGTGCAACAGATAGTTTGTCCGCATCGCGACTTCATTGCATCCTGCTGTCAGCTCTTCGAAACCCATAGCTGGTTCTACGCCGTCACCATCCGCTGAATTTCTTGCCCGTGGTACAAGCTGTCAAAGCTTCGTTACCTGCGGAACAAGCGTTCATTTCTCGCCTGGATCTGTCTGGGAACTCGTGTTGTTAACCAGGCGATTGAGAGTTCCTCATCAGCCATGCTTGGGGGCATTCCCAGCCAGGATTTCAGTTCTCAAGGCTTCGCCTTTGTGGACCGCAGGGTCTGGATTTCCAACAAATTCTTCTGTGGCCCAGGTATATTCATCACAAGGTAGGCTTGTCTTTGTTGTGCCGTCATTTTGTTCGTACATTTGCACCGCCGAATCCATGACTCGTGTCGTCCTGCCCGATCACCACCTCACCAGTTGCATCTCAGGCTGGCCTTGCTTTAAATAGTGATTTTCCCTCCATTTTGGCACCAGTTCTACATCAGGAACGAAGACTGGCTACTCAGAAATCCAAGCAAAAGAGAAAGAGTGGTACGTCAGGTGGTCCTACAAAAAAAAACCCTCGCCTGTGTGATGTAATAGAGCAATCCAATGAACAGATCAAACAGATGCAGGAGATCATGCAGAGTAATTCAATTACATCAGACACACTTTCCAGGAAAAGAGAAGAGGATCAAGAGTTTTTTTGACAGATGATGTTCACGATGTCCCAAACTATGATGTGAGTGACCCAAATGCTTATGCAAGGAGCTGCCCCCAGGGTACCATCCACCAAATCAGGCATATACACCTCCAAACTACAGCTTTTCATAAAGTGGAATGGTCTATGGCTTTTACTCTCCACCAGCTAGATAATCAAGCTCAGTTACAAGCAAACATTATCTGAATATAATGATTTGTCAAACTTGCGGAAACATGAAAGTCAAATGTGAGACTTGATTGTTACATGTTGAGTTTAACCAGAGATCAGTCTTGACCAGTTTTAATCCAAATATTATAAGATTAACTTTACAATGGCATATTGTATACTTTGGTTTCTTTTCAGTTGTTTTTTTATTTATGACAGTTTGTATTTCCAGAAAAAGGGCTGACAAAACAGGACAAAGGGTATTTGATTCAAAAACATTTTGATCCCCATTCATTGCTGCAAATCTAACATGCGACAAGTTAATCCATTGTCAATTAGTTAAATTCAATCAATTATGTCTATTTCATGGAAACACAACAGCTTTCACATGAAGGGAACTATTTCAAGTAAAACATGTTTGGTATTTAACTAGTTAACTTCTAATGAACAATACAGGGGACTTTTTTCATAAGTTCAACATTTGAAGTTTGTAATGACCAATGTACGAGTCCTTCAAATACCTCGACTAACATAACAGTTTTCTTTTTGAAGTAAAGTTTAAATTGTGAAAATGCATAGTCTCTTTCTCCTAAAATTAATTTAATTGTTGAGTCAATACAGGGCACGTTGTTATGACTTTATTGATCAGTTGTAGAAATGATGAGCCAGTACATTCCTTATAACAAACGCACTGTTAGCTGCCTCATCATCATTTAGGGGATGGGGCCTTAGTAGATCACCAATTTCACTCTCACTCAACCTGTTCCACTCTTAAAGATAGCACTCCTTTCGCTCTACCCACATGTTGTGCAGCATACAGGCTGTCATAACTATGAAGCACACCTTTGTCAGGGTCACAATCTCGCTGCTTATGCAGACATCTACATCTTCCCTTAAGCCATCCAAGCCCTCTTTCAACCTGAACGTGAGCACAGCTAAGTCTGTAGTTGAAATGTTCTTTTCCAGTATAAGGTTGACCCCTGGGTAATTTTTCATTAAATGTTTGGAAAGAGGATAAGCTGGATCGCCAATAAGAAATGGTTTGATAATGTGGTTATCAATAACCCGGGACAAATTTACATCATTGGTTATCATTCTTCCCTCTGTTATCATTTTGCCTAGCTGTGAGCGAGCAAAACACCCTGGAATTATGTGCCAGGCCAGAACTTGCAGAATGACAGAATGGAAACTTTTCCTGTTAAAGTAGTCAGCCTGGTGGAGAAGTGGGACTTTTATAGGTATACGGGTACTGTCAATAGCACCCAAACACTGTGGAAAATTCCACTTTCTTTGGAACTCATTTATCATTGTTTGAAAGTCTATACCCCTTGGAAGGTTACTGATTATGTGTAGCTTGGAATGAACCAAAAACTGCATGCCTTCATTAACTTTCTTGCATGCTTCTTGGGGCAAATTTTTTTCTTTTGTTTTTCGTTTTCTAACTTACTTGTTATCGTGTATTCTTTTTCTTTTCGCTCTCCGGTATTTTGTTAATTACGCTCCTTTGTTACGTGCTGTATGTAAATTTCGTTATAGTTTGTTATTGCACCCTTTTTTCTTACCAGTTTACATGTCTATTAGTGTAACAGCAATAGTGGAAGTAGATTTTTTTCCTCGGTGGCCCTGACCACCAACCCTGTCATCCTCAGCATTTGGTAAGCCGCTTTGTTTTCATCGTTTTTCATTAATTTCATTTTGCAGCCGCCTTAAAGTAGTTTTTCTGTATTGTAACTATTATTTTTTTGCTCTTTGTAGGAATTTACTTTTATGGTTCATAATAGTAAAAACATTTGCTGATCGTGAGCGTGTTGTGTTTTTTGGAATTGGCCCTTGCCCGTTCATTTTGTAAATTCCAAATGACGGAGTAAAGTATGGCGCATTCATGACAGCCTCGAATACCCACTCAAGCTCTCAGAGAAAAATGGCGAGTTCATTTCGATTAGGGGAATCTGGCAAGCGTAAAATCTCTTCAAGCTAGTTTGGATAAGACATGGAACAATTATCGAGAAAGCATCGCACGTTATTGAAGTCTTGTGGACGAAAACAGCATGGAGATTCACGAGGTGAATAATCAGTACTCCTCTCAGGAATTACGAAAGGACAACTACGATCAAAAGATTAAGGAATTCACTATCGCTGCGGCTACACATTTTAACGAGCAAGTATCTCGAGACCTAGCGAACATTGGTTTGGCATTGCTGACACCATTTGTGCGCTCCGTAAGCAGTCGCACTTCAAAGTTAAGTGAAGCAGGGGAAAGGCTTCACAACACGAAGATGGCGGCAGCAAAGGCTGCTTTAATGGAAAAGCAAACTGAATTGAAAAGGAAAAGATCAGTGGAGATTGAAATCAAACGTCTTGAAATGAAAATGAACCAGAAACAGTTTAAGTTGAAACAGCAATTAGAGTTGGCAAAGCTCGAAGCTGACAGAGACATTTCCAAGGCGGAAGAAAAGGCTGAATTGGCTAAATTTGCAGAAGCCAAGTTCTCGCAACTTTTCTTACATGGAGATTTATCTCCTAGCCGTGCTCTCAACCCTGTAGAACTGACTCCTGAAATTACTCCTGTCACCTCGTCACTCGTGGTCCTTGCTGTATCCATGCAGGCCTCCACGTTTCCAGCCACACCTAGGCGAGTTTACACATTTCCCGCAGCACATGAACGAGCTCACACAGATTCGTCACTTATCACGCGAGTTAACACGTTTCCCACCATTGACACTCTTACTTCTCGAGATAGCACGTTACCTCCTAATGCCACGCGTGGTTACGGGAGTCCGACTTTGCCTGCACCATTCCTTCAGTACCAAACCGTGACATCACAGCCCGACAGCTTCCCTTCATGGTCCCTCACTTTAATGGCCTCCACGCATGTTTACACTCCCCCAATTGTGTCCGTGCGAGTTTCCACGTTTTCTTCTACAGATGCCATTCCGGTTAAGCCTACGAGGTTTCCTCTCGCGACTTCGCGCATCTTCATTTCTAGACAGACCTGCCATGTCTTCAGGGGCATCTAACATTGCGATCCCCTCTATTGCAAGAAATGTTTATGGTTCCCAGCCCATGGTAACTTCACACTACCCAGTTTCTAGGTTTAACACCGCTGGTCAAGACTATATGTGTACTGCAGCCTCAACTGGCCCTGCCAATGTTTGGTGTCCTCCACTTGCCCCTTTGCCTACAAGTGAAAACCTTCGTGCAATGATTGCCACCACCATGGAGAAAATGAACGCTGATCGCAGTTTACCAGCGATGCAAGTACTCAAGTTTGATGGTTCGCCCGAGAACTATCCGGTTTTTCGTCGCAGGTTTCATCAGATGGTAGATTCGAAGGCCTTAGACAAGCCAACGAAAATGGCCCGGCTGATACAGTTCCTTGAAGGACCTGCGCTGTTAGCTGTTCAGAGATACGAATCCGTCACGGGGGGCTTAACAAAAGCTCTCCAAGATCGATTTGGACAACCCTTCAAAGTGGTACGAGCATGCGTAGACGCCCTCATTAAAGGTCCTGTCATAGCGCCTCAAGACAGACATGGCCTAAGACGCTACGCAGATACAGCGGAAGTAAGCCCTAGAATCTATGGGCTGTTTGGGTGAAATGAACACTGACAACCTTGAAAAGATGATTCTTAGGCTACCGAAGTGGGCCCAAAAGAAGTTTCGCGAGCATCTAAAGAACCTCGAACGTCAAGGTCGTGTTATGCCAACCTTTAAGGACGTGCAGATGTGGCTAATCATCCGTTCTTCTCGAATCCGGTATCTGAGGTGAAGACTCCGAACTCTAAGACACCCGCTCCGAAGTTCACCTCCTTGGCGACAGAAGGAGCCACGGATCAAGCTGAAAATGTCAGTGCAGTTAAATATGACAAGAAAACTGGAAAGTGCCTGATGTGTACACGGTCACATCCCCTCTACCGATGCGAGACTTTCAAATCAAAGCCTGTAGACGAAAGACACGAGTTTATCAAGAGGAATCGCATTTGCTTCAACTGCATTAACTCTGTTGAACATTCTTCTAGATCATGCAAGTCTTCTGTGCGCTGTCAGAAACCAGAATGTGGTAAAAGTCATCACACCTTATTACACTTTTCATCATCTAACCCTGAAAGGAACAGCACTCACCAGAGCCAATCACATAGAAAACACTGCCATCCATGACGTTCATGTGGCTTGACCTTTGCAAGGCGATCCTTCTGCTCCCTTGAGCGGCTGCACCACCACAACTATAACACGACCATCGGAGGTCCTGTTGCAAATCGTACCCTTCAAGGTCATTGGGAACAATGGAACAGCCATCACTACCTACGGCCTAACCGATTCTGGCTCTGATGTGACTATGATCAACCCTTCCCTGGTGGAAAAACTTGGAATACAAGGTGAATCCAGCCAGCTTCTCCTATCCACTGTGAATGAAAGAGAGAAAACGCAACAAGGCTTAAAAGTGGACTTCAAGATTTCATCAATTGATGACCAGGACTTCAGAGAGATTGCTGCGCGCCACGCTTGGGCTGTGCAAGACCTCAACATTCCTCTCAAGCACCTCACAGTATGTACAAAAGGGGACCTGTGGCCACACCTACATCAAGTTACCTTCCCTGAGGTAGAGAGAAACAAAGTGTCTGTTCTCATTGGTACAGACGTTCTTCTCAAGATATGCAACATTATTAAGAATATAAAGTCATTTAATGGAGTTGAACAGTCGGTTCACCTAGGCCTCTGTGCTCAGGTTTGATGATAAGTTTCGTCAGCTGCACGCTATTTACAATTACCTGTGAAGTTATGACTCCACGCATCTTCACACCGTAATTTCTGAATTAATCTCCCCTTCTTTGAAAAGCTAGTCACAGTTATGGTCTTAATGCTAATTTAGGTAATAGCCCTAGTTCCTTAGTTGACACCTAAAGGCACACAGAGGCAAAAATATTATAAGTCAATGGCTAATGCTACTGTCAGAGACACCGTCGAGTGCATTAGTGCAAATGAAATCGCAGAGAGCAATTATATTATTTCTAATTACAAACCTTCTATTGTTAGCTCATAAGGAGCCACTCCTAAGCAAGATTTTGCAGGAGTTTGCCTAATTCATGATTGTTCTCATCCCCTTGGCTATACATTTAATGATTACATGGATACACACACTTTCCACTTGAAAATGTTAGATGTTGTTAACAAAATACTTAAGCCTGGGTATTATATGACCTAGATCAATTTATGCCACGCTTATTGTTCTGTTGCCATTCACCCTAGCAACTTAATGGCAACAGGCCTTAAATGGAAATTAGGGGGAGACACACGATTTTACTTATCTTTCTGATACTGTACTACCATACGAAACCAAGTGCTCACCAGAAAACTTCCACCAGTTAACCCAATAAGTCTGCACAATGATGGCTAGGCGCAGATTTCATCCTATGGTTGTCTATGAGGGTGGATCAGGAAGTTCAGTCCCCATTTCTGGGAACCAAGATCGAGTATGGTGGCCAATTGTAGAGCTCCTACTATATTTTTTGTTTTCACTCTATATGCCCACTACCTGACGTCCCCACATGGCAAATTACCAGTACACGATCTCCTTCAACAATTGCAGAATTTCTGCCTCTCTGACTCAAATCAGCTTTAGTCTGCGACTTATAATCATGGAACGAATAGTGGTCGACCCGCCATATTGCAAAAGTCCACAGCCAAACTTGACTCCAGTATTCTTAAATTACTCATTCTTTATGGCGACATTTCAAACCCAGGACCAATATGTAAGCATCCTTGTAGAATTTGCTCAAAAACCATTAGATCTAATCAACGAGGGGTTCAATGTGATTCCTGTGATTTTTGTTATCATGTTAAGTGCCTGCAAATGAGGACCCATATTTATGAAGCACTAGTCAACTCGTCTTCCAAACTGCTCTAGCTCCTTATATGATTCAAACAAGATCCATGCTACAAACTATTTCTGGCCTCTGGACTCGGATTTAGTAAGACACAGTGAATCAACCTTTAGCAATATATCTATAGCAGCTCAATGACAGCCTCACAAATTGTACCAACGTCAGTTCCTATAGTTCTGAACAAGTTCTAACCTCTACCCCACGAAAAACAAGTAAACATCGCCTCCCACGAGTCAAAGTCCTTACAACCAATTGCTGCAGTCTTCATTGCGAATCTAAAAGATGTGAATTTGCTTCCATCATTGATACTCATCAACCTGACATCATTAACGCCTCTGAGACTATAAATGATGAGTTCTGTTCAGCCAAACTGAACCTTTCAGGCTATGAAATCTTCCGCCATGATATAAAATAACGGAACTCTTGGTGGTGGAGTCCTGATTGCTGTTTAAAATACCTTACTGGCAATGAGAGAACCCGCCATAGAAGAAGATT